GTCCCTCCATGGCGTTAAAAACTTTTTTTTTTTTTTTGAGATACGGTCTTGAGATGTAGCCATGGCTAGTCTGGAACTCATTGTGTGGACTGGGTTAGTTAGCTTCAACCTCAGAATTCCACCTGCTTCTGCCTTCCCAATACTGAGATTAAAAGTTAATGATTAAGAAACTCCATACCCGCTGTGATCCATCTCAGTGTCTCCCTGAATCTTCACCTGAGACCTTTTTTCTGGGAAGGTGAAAGGTGTTTAGGGGCTGGGCCAGTCTCCCACACCATCCCCAGGGTGCCTTCATCCCAGAATCAAGCTTGCAGGCCTTGAAAGACAGGTGGGTGTGGAAGACAGGAGAGGGACAGTAGACAAACCCTGCTGGAAGAAAGATCCTGGACCAAGGCCTGAGGGAAGGTCCTGTCACTTATACATGAGCTGCAGTGTCACTTACAGTACTCTGCTGAGGTGACTTTGTCCTCTGCTTCGGGAGGGCAGGAGAGGTGGAGCCCTGGTGTGACTCAGCACCTACAGTAAATCCGAAACCCTGTGTGGGATTTCCCAAGTTTGATTCCCAGGCTGTGCCTTGGGACTCTTTGATCTGCTCTAATGGCTACCAGTGAGGATGCCCAGCTCAAGGAAGGAAAAACAGAGACCTGGAGGGCTGGCTTCTCAAAGCCAGATAAATGTCCCTTCCTAGGGTCTGGCCACAGCTCAGCTAGACTCCTGGGGAAGGAGTGGAAGAAGGGAGTTGGCTTTTCCAAAGAGCCAGGCCCCTCAACATTTGCTCCAAGGTGGATCTGATCATGGCCCACAGACCATCTTCTGTATTGTTCTGCTCTTGCTGAAGCCAGTTCTATCTATCTATCTATCTATCTATCTATCTATCTATCTATCTATCTATCTATCTATCTATCTATCTTTCTTTCTTCTGTCTTTGTCTACCCATCATATTTTTTTCAAGCTAGGGTTTCTCTGTGCAGCTCTGGCTGGCCTGGAACTCACTTTGTAGAGCAGATTGGCCTCGAACTCAAAGATCCCCCTGTCTCTGCCTCCTCAGTTATGGCATTAAAAGTGTGCATCACTGGCCGGGCAGTGGTGTCGCACGGCTTTAATCCCAGCACTTGGGAGGCAGAGACAGGTGGATTTCTGAGTTTGAGGCCAGCCTGGTCTACAGAATGAGTTCCAGGCCAGCCAGGGCTATAAAGAGAAAACCAAAACCAAAACCAAAAAAAAAAAAGGTGTGCATCACCACTGCCTAGTAACTTTTTTTTTTTTTAAAGGCTTAAGCTGGCTTAGAAGGCAGTACATGGCCAGGAAGACCTAGAACTCATGTCAGTCCCCCTGCTTCAGCCTCCTGGGTGTTGGCATTCCAGGTGTGAGCAATCGTGCTCTGCCTTTTGTCTTTGTTATTGATACATGACGTGGACATGCTATTTCTGTCCTTGGTTCTTTTATGGGACTTCCCCATATCAAATCCAAACCCTGGCTTCCTTCCTCTCCTTTACTCTCTGCCCTGGGATCCAGATATCCTAGGGAATTCCAAGAAAGTGAGCAGGGACAGTTTCTGGGCTGGGCTCAGAGCAGGGCCAGACTGGCATCTGACTGTGACTCAGAGCCTGAGAGAGAGACACATAGTACACAGCAAGTGCCATTGGCTCTTTTCTGTCCAACCACCATTTAACAGGGCAAAGAGGAGACAGATTTGGAGAGCTAAGTTCAAGATCAGTCAGCTGGAGAGCAGGCAGACTGGGCAGATGCCAAAACAGATCCCCAGGCTCTTCATGTCACAGGGCCAAGTGACCTATAAAACATTTCCTCCTGAAGAGACCTGCTCAAAGGATCATCATTAATGAACATAAGAAAACAGAGGAAGGGCCTGGGTGAAGCTTCCATTGGCCTGCAGACAAAGGAGTTTTAAACCATGGGCTCACAGTTAAATATATATCACCTATATATAATATCTATATATAGGATATATATTAGTACCATTCATATATATATGTATATACACATATATGTATATGTGTATATACATATATATATTTGTATATATACATATATATATATATATGTATATATACCTGTATATATCCTATATATGATTCTAAAACCCATTATATATAATATATGCTAATAACAATTTAAAATAATAAAGAATATTTTAAAATTTGTTTGCATTTATTTATGGGTGTGTAAGGGACAAGTATGGAGAGGTCAGCTTTCCTCCTACTGTGTGTCTGAGGGGTGAACAGGGCTACAAAGTGAGTGCTTTTGTCTACCAAAGCTGAGCCATCTTGATGGCTGCACTATTGGCTTTCAGCTTCCAGAAAGAAAGACAGCAAATAAAAGGGGGGTGGCCCTCCTACATTGCTAAAAGTCAGGTCTGACTCAGCAAAGGGAACTTCATGGGACCCTGACTCACAGGGACCCTGACTCACAGTTCCTGTAAGGCTGCTGTGGTCCTGGGAAAAGTTGCCACTCTGCGTGTTTGGAAGATCCCTCAGACCGGTGGGTGAGTGGACCCTTGGAGTTAGCCCGATACCAGACTCAGAAGGAAACGGTGGGTTAGGGAGGCTGCAAAGGGTCAGCCACAGGTTTAAGATTCCAGCATGACCTTGAAGACTGGGGGCTGACCAGGGATGTCTAGATATGGACGGCCTCTGACTTAGCTGCTGGCAAGTTAAGGTCCGATGACTAATGACTGGTGGTGACTTTTACTTATTTCTTTGTTCTTTTTGATCTTGAGAGAGGTTTTCAAGTCATTCAAGTTGACCTCACATTTGCTACGTACCCAAGGATAGAACTTCCTTCAACTTCTGATTCTTCTGCCTCACCCTTCCAAGAACTGGGTGAGGTGTGTGCCACCATGCCTGAGTTTATGAAGTAAGTGCTGGGCTTTGTGCAACACCTACCTAAGCTGTGTTTTAAATCACCTAGGAAACCCACACATGTGATTTCAATGTTTTAGAGAGTCTTCCTTAACATTATTTATTTTGGTTTGACTGCATGTGTGCCCCATACATGCCTGGTGCCCTTGAAAGCCAGAGTTTATCGGATTCCCTGGAACTGGAGTTACAGATGGTTGTGAGCTGCCATGTGCATGCTGGAAATCAAACTTAGGACCTCTGCAAGAGCAAGTGGATACTCCTAACCACTGAGCCACCTCTCCTGTCCCTTATTTCTATTATTTTAAACTGTGTGTAATGTGTCTATGTGTGTGTGGTGGTGGTGGTGGTGGGGCGTATGCATCAGAATGCAGTGCCACTTTCAAGCCAGGATCCAATATTTTAAATGTCAACCCCAAGTTTCTATATAAGTAAAGAATTGTGTAATTCTCTGGGCTAGAGAGACGGTTTGGTAGTGAAGAGCACTTGCTCTTACAGAAGACCCAAATGAAGTGCCCAGCACCCCTGTCAGGCAGCTCACAGCTCCAGTTTGTAGCTCCAGTTTCAATGGCTCTGACCTCTCTGTCACCTGTTGCTGCTGGAACCTGTACTGACATTTGTAGACCCACATACAGACATACACACAAAACTTAAGACAAAAGAAATATTAAAAAAAAAAAAAGAGTTGTGGGATTTACACTTTTGGTTAGAAACTTTTCAGTCTTCATGTGTCTCTTCCTCTCTCCTTTCTTCTTCCCTCAGCCTCTGTAGAACATTCGAGACCTTGCGTGGGTAGTAAGGAGTTCACACCAGAGGGCTGTCTCTTACTGGGAGATGTCTGACTACTCACCAATGATAGGGGACAGTCTCTATAACAGAGCACTTAGCTTCTTACAGGGGCACATATCCATTCTTCTGATAGGAGTCAGCTGGGCTGGCAGAGGCCAGGAACGGTGGTTCCTTGGGAGGAGCCTGTTTCTGGGTGCCTGCCTAAAACTACCATTTCCTGCCACCTGGGGATGTAACTGTGCCTGATTCTCAGTCTTATCTCGTGGGGGGAAACGATGCCTAGCGAGGGTGGCCACTCAGCTATGCTTCCCTTTCAAAAAGGAAAAAAGGCGTGACCTGCCTTTCCTGAGGAGCCCAGGGCCACTGTAAGTCCCTCCTAGGCTGGTTATTTCTAGTCCACTCCTTTCTCATCTTCCACTATGCACGGGCCCATGACCAGTGGGCTTTCTCTCTGGAGTAGCTGGTAACCCAGCGGTGTTGAGTGACTGTCCTCTGAGCCACGCTAACTGCCATTTTGGGGAGTTCAGTTCCACCCCCATTGTAAAAGATCATCCCAGCTAGGTTTATTGATGGTTCATGCCCTCATGGAGGGTTGGGAAGAGTACCAGAGTACCCAGTTGTTGCCTACTACCTGCTGTATACAACTGCCTTCCTTATACATACTGGGCCTGGGGGCAGGGCTGGTTATACAGGTAGGATGAAGATATGCGAGGGAGACTCCATCTATGTAACTATGGGGAAGTCCTCATCTCTGCTGGGCAAAGTCTTTCCAGGTGGAAGGGAGAACCCACACCCTGATAAGCAACCTATACTCTGTAGGGAAGCCCAATAAATATATTGCTTTCCCAGAATGAACTTTGGTGGAATCAAACCTTGGTTTGTCATTAGGACCTTAAGAATTTTAGCAACACCAGTCTGTTTTACAAAGAAAGGGTTCTGGAACTCACAATGTAGACCACGCTGGCCTCGAACTCACATTGATGCAGCTACCTCTGCCTCCTAAGTGCTGAGATTGAAGGTCTGTGCTACCACCACCCCGCAGTAACACTTGTCTTAAGAAACTGGTTCTGGCCTCCTTGGCCATTACTCAGTGCTTCTTACTAAGCAGGGCTGCTGTGGAGAATTCTCAAGTGTTAGCTACTGATGGCTAAGTCAGGATAACACAGAGGATTCAAAAATCACAAACCAAATGAAAAGCTATATTCTTTGAGAATCCCTGTCTGTACCCACTCACCTATAAGCTGCCCAAATGATCACTGTAGATATCACTCACTGGAAAGGTAAGTGATGTGTCTTGGCTCAACGCCAAGAACAGAAAAATATTTCAGAAATACATTTTTCATTTCTTTAAAAAACAAACAAACAAACAAACAAAACTTTATTGCGCATAAAACAGACCATTCCCTCTTGTGGGTTATGTTACCATCTTTCAAAAGAAAATTTTTTAAAAATGTGGTACTGGGGATTGAACCGTGGGCCTTATGCATGCTAAACACACATTCTACCACTGAGCTATATTCCCAGCCCCCCCCGATATTTGTTGCCCCCGCCTCTACTCTCCTGTCCCAGCGAAAAATGTCTTATTTTTTAAAGTCTACAGCTGCTGGTCAAAATTACCTTACGGATGGCTGTTGGGGGCAAGAATATCAACTGAGCAGGGTTAGAACCTGGGCTGGCCACGCTCTTACTTGGGAGCAACAGACTGTCTTCTGCTTTCGCTCCAGGGATAGAGGCTAGAGCCTCAGGTACTGTCCTTGGCCTTGAGTTTGAGTTTACTCAAATGCACCGTAGCATCATATGTATGAAGTGTAGACATCCCTTTCTTCTCTGCTTTCAAGAGAAGACATAATTCCTGGGAAGAACGCAAGAACGCATGACTAGAGCTGTTCGCATTTCCAGAGGCAGAGAACACTTCATGTCTCGTCCCCCAGGGCCACTGAAATCAACTGCAAACTAGTGGTTACAAACTGGGAGCCTAAAAAAAGGTGCTCTATGAGAACCTGAAGTCCTCGTGCCACCACGACTGGAGAGCTGCGGGACATTCCCAAGGCTGGTGGAATTCTGAGGCCCTCCTGCAAAGTGTTCTGTCCACTGTCATATGACTGCTGGAAGCAGTGTGTGCTTTGGAGAGATCAACACGCCATGGCTGACCAGGACAGAGGAGGAGGGGAACATCTGGTGCTTCTGCTCTGTGAGGCCACAAGAGATGCAGCATGCCCCTGCATCCTTCTTGAGTTACTTGGGAAATGGTTTCCTTTTCTGAGTTAGCAGGCATGACGGGCTGAGCTGCATGGGATTGCCGGTGGGTGGCACTGCGGAGGAGGACAGGGTCAAGAAGGCCACACGGGCGATGAAGGTCCTGTTCAAAGTCCAGTTCGATTGGCAGATTGTGGTTGACAATGGAATCCAGAACATCGTCCTCTGACAGAATAAAAATAGCTATACCACCATGTCAGAGACCAGGAAGTGATGACATCAGAGCTGTGGCGGTTGCTAGCAGCACATCTGGATTTCCACAGGAGAGATGGCAGCTTTTGCGCAAGGTGAAGAGTAGGATAGCTGTTTGCTCCTCTGGAGTTGGGTGGATGGATGTTCAAGTTGAGGCACAGTGTGGTTCCCATGGGAGGTCCAGGGTCAGTGTGGGCCCTTGGCTATTGTCTGCACTAGCCCCTCCCACAGACCCAGCTGGCATGTCCTTTCCAGATTGGTATGGCACCAATGGACTGGTCCATGTGCTGCTGTTTTAAAAGAAAAGCACCCTGGCCCCAATCGCTGGTCTCTGGCTGAACCACAGGAAATGAACAGCTTGGCTTATGGATCTGGTTACATGGTACTTACTGGCTCTTGCCAGGCCAAGAAAATCCTGGTATAGGCAGAGAAGACTGGAGTGGCCACTATGTTGAGGTGAGACCAGCACACGTGTTTCTGTCTAGCTGGGCTGAGCATTTTCACCAGCCAGCCTGAAGGACAAGGTCACACTCTACTTGGTCCCAGCAAGCATGAAGAGGGGCTAGCCTCAACCTTCAACATATGTACAGGAGGTAAGACCTTGGCAGCAAAACTGGACAAAGTGGGTTCTACAGAGCCAAGATCCCCAAAAGACCAGAACAGCCTGTCTCCAGGCCTGGCCTCCTGGTGCTAAAATGCATCCGCACAGAGAGGCTATTCTCCTGGAAGAGTCCAGTGGCAACAGGAACAGGGTACTGGGTGGAGGAGGGGACAGAAAAGCTGTGAGCAAGGACCCACAGGGCCTTGAGTTGCTCCCTGGTGCCCACCAGGCCAGTAACACTCTTGGGAAGGCTTAATAAATAGATGCATGTAACAAGAATCAGATCAGTTTTGCATCAGGCTGCACGGGATGTACAAAGACCTCATCACTCCCACACGCAGGTGACAGGCAGTGTCTCTAGTAAAGGTATAAAAATGACATTGCTTACTTTCAAGTATTAAAAAAATAAGTTAATTGACAAAAAAGGGTCCGAAGTGGCTGAGTGTCTGGCCAGGCTGTCAGTCTCATTTCAATGTGCAAACACAGGAAAATGCCGAGGAGATCCATCTCCTGAACTGATGTGGGGGTGCTGACCAGGGATCGCGCCTCTGTCAGCAGGAGTAGGGTGGGGGAGGGGAAGGAGGAGGGGGTGGGGGAGGGGCTGACAGGTAGGGCCTCCTTCTGCTCTCCTAAAGTCAATACTTTCCAGTGTCAAAATGGTTGTGAACTAAAAGCAAAACACAGCAATCCACGGGCTTCAGGCCGCTGTCCGTGTGAGAGGCCTGGGGCACTTGGCCACTGGGGATCCAGTGTGTGGTGGGGCAGGTCCCTCCTGCGCCCTCCTAACTTGCATAATGAACCTGCCTACTTCCCCTGCCAGGGTGAGCATGACCCCTCTGGGGCTGCTCCCTGCTGGATCTCCATCCACAGCCCTTTTCTGAGGATGCCTCTGTACTTTCTTTGGTGGTGCTTCAGGGAGCAGGAGGGCATTGGCTGCTCTGCTCTGCAGGTGCTCTGTGGTGGCAGTGGCTCTTTAGAGGAGCCACTTGAAAGAGGTGCCAGACAGCAAGCCCTCAGGGACCTGAAGGCCTTTCCCCTGGGGCACATATCAAACACACCCATCTCCTCTCTCCTGAGTGGGAAGTCTGGGGGGGCGCCTCTCCTTGGAGGTGGAGTCACCTCAGAGGATAACCCTCACCTAGTGTTTCCCCACAGCATGGTATCTGAGCACTGCCCTCCAGGGATGCCAGGCCTCTTCTGAGCCTGGATCCAGTGGTTTGGGAGGACGCAGCTGGGTCAGGTGGGTGCCACTCTACCAGACACAATGGTAGGCAGGCTCAGGACCAGTCCAGGCTGAAGCCCTTGCACAGCATGGCGGCCTCCAGGTCCTTGTCCTCCTCTTTCTCCCGTAGTCGCTGCTCTTCCAGCAGAGCCACCAGCGAGTCTCTCTGCTCCACCACCTCCAGCATCTCGTTCAGGATCTTCTTCTCCTCTGACAGCTCCTCCTCGGTCTTCAGGTGATCTGCCGAGAGGCTGAAGGCATCAGGTGTGGCCTGGGATAGTGGCCCGCATCACCTTCCCACCCACTTGCCCTTTGCTTACCTTCTACAGCCATCCGTTCCCTCAGCTCCTGCTGCAGCCGGCTCTGGCGGTCTTCCAGCTCCAGCTCCCGGGCACTGAGACAGGGAGACACAGCAACAGTGACTTGGAGACGAGGACAGCCGTGTCTGCGGGGGCACACTCCAAGCACTCGCACCCCCACAGTTGTTCCCTCAGTCTCGGCTTACTTACAAAATCATCAGCTCCGACTCATAGCGCACCATGGCGTTTTTCTCCTGCACCAGTTTGAACCACTCCTGCATCAGTTTGGGGTCATCCTTTTTGCCCATGCCTGCGTGAGAGATGGAAAGTCAGGCGACAATATTGTCTCCGTTTGCCCAGCCCGAGAAAGATTGTCACACTGGGGCAAATGTGCAAAGAGCCAAGCAAGATGCTGCCGGAACTGTCCCAAGCCAGGTCCAAAGTTTGCCTACAGCCTTGACAGGGACAGGGGGACAGAGAACGACAGGCCACTGCCCCGTGTCCACCCCAGGGTCCGATAGACCTAGACTCTCCATCACGTTCTGAGAAACAGGCACGGGTGCTGCCACACCCAGTACACCTTGCTCTTAAGTGTGCTTTTGCCTGGGCAGCTGTGCCTGACACTTCCCCATGCTTCTTAGTCTGACAGGAAGACGCCATTTCTTCATTCTGTTATGCACTCACTAGACACATGCGTACCAGGCAAGTGCTGTACCACTGAACTACATCCCCTGCCCTGATATAGCAGGCAGCCTGGCAAACACTCCAGCAGACCCTGCGTGGTAGACACAGGGCATCAAGGTGGCTGTCAGATTTCTCACCAGCAGACCCCAGGGCTGAGGAAGGTAGCTCCTGCTCTTGTTCCAGCTGCTAATTTGATCTGTCCCGAATCAACTTTTGACCCACACTGAGTGTCCATCAGGGGTGACCACACCCCTGGGCTTAACTTCAGCAGGAACGTAGAGGAAGGACTGTCTAAGGAATCAACCCAGCCAGGAAGTAACAAAGTCCTGTGTCCTGTACAAAGCCGTTCAGTGCCCTTGCGTTGGAAGCACAGGGTATCAGTGGCTCTTTGCTTATGTGGATACAAACTTTCCTTAGTAGTTTTCTGTGTGCTGGGGATAGAACACAGAGCTTTATATGTGCTAGGCAATGCCCCACCCCTGAGCTACACTCCCATCCCAACATTTAAGGAATTCTGTACAGAGCTCAGGATGTCTGAGGGCTTCCCAAAGGTGAGTGGTATCAGAATGGAACTCTCCAAGTTCCCATCCATTTATCTGGTTGGATGATCCAGACCCGAGAAATGCCCTAGCACAAAAGTATGGATGGTACTCAGGGAGGTGTTGTGCCCATATCAGACTCTCAATTACTCTAACCTGCTTCTTCCTTACTCCTTCACACTAGTCAAAGGCTGAAGCTCTTTTATTGTATGTTAGACGCATGTCTAGCCTAAGCCTGAGTCTTTAGCCAGTGACCACATTCTGAAGACAGAACTGACACAGCAATGGTTAGTATCAGCCCGGTGGCAAGCAGACATGCACCCCTACTCCTGACCTGGGAGTCTCGGCCCTGAGCTCTACCCTCAAAGATGGACACCTCCATCTCGGCCTGTCGAGCTTGCCTACAGGTATAGGGGCCCAAGCTCTCCTTCCCCGCACCAATAGACTTGGGTCTTTGGCTTTAAAGCAGCCTCCAGCCCAGTTCCACGCATTCCTTCTGAAGGGTCTCTGCACAGTGTGCCCCTGTGGCCATGGAGATGAAGCCCTGAGGCATGCAAGCTGTCCAGAGTGGCAAGCCACGAGCACACCAAGTCCGTCCCCTCCTTCCCACCTCCCGGCATGGAAAGACTCCAAATTCCACCAGGAGATGTTGGGACGCCGCTCATGAGCCGTGGTGGAGCTTGGTCACGGCTGATGAGCGAGGGGATGTGGCAGGGTGGGTGGTCACATGTGAGAGCCATGGAGCAGAGAAGAGGTTAGCAGGGGTTAGTCATGGCCACACTCCCTTCCCCTGCCCACATGCCTTGTCAATGACAATCTTATCACCACAACAGACTTCAAAATCAGACAAACTTAAAAACAAAACAAGACACACTCGGCAAGACACAAGGTAGAGAAGTTTGGTTTTTAGTGGTTGGGGAAAAACAACAGAACTCGGGGGGCCATTTGTGTAGACCAGTCTTTGTAAGGACAGTATTCCTTGACTCCGCCAATACAAACTGCTGCCACAGAGGGGGTTCTTCCCCTGTTCCTGGACTTCAGCTTACCGGCCCCAAGGCCCCAAGCGCCAACAGTAGACAGGACTGCAGGAGAACTACAACCTGCAGACACTGAAGCCCACAGGCTCTTTGGCTTCTGTTTGTTCCCATCTTCCCTTAGACAGTCAAAGGGATACTGTGCCTTGTAAGAAACTGCCACATACTCATGACATTCTGACGTAGGGCTATCAGGAATCAGAGAGAGGAGGAGGAACAGTTGCTGGGCCTTGGTTCCCTGATGGACTACGGTGGCTGCGGGCCCCTCGAGGCAATGGGGAAGAGTGGGAGAGGTTACTTTACCTTCCTGGACACAGCAAGGGCAGAAGGAGAGAGGTCTACGCCGTGGAGTCCCGCCACTGGGCTCAACTTCAAAAAGGACCAAACAAGGAAGAGGAAGAGGAAACAGAGAAAGACAAAAAAAGGAAGAGGGAGAGGAGGAGAGGAATGTGAAGGTGGAGAGGGACGGGGAAGGTGAAATAAAAACAAGCAGAGGACAAAAACAGAAAAAGTGAGAAAGGAACAATAGGAAGAAAGGAAAAAATTCCACAAGAATGGAGAAGCGGAAACAGGGGGACAATGTCTACAAATGAATTAAGTCCTTTTTTTTTTCCCCCAGCACAGAAATCGAACAAGAGCAGGCCCAGGCTGCAGGCAGCAGTGGCTAATGAGGGCATGTGGTAACACTGGAACATTGTCATATGGTGGCCTTGGGTAGGTCTTCCTACATCCAGGCAACAGATGTTCTAAATATGTAGCCAATGCTGTTCCTACGTGTGCAGTAGGTTAACACGTGCGCTTGAGGCTAAGCTGGCTTTTCCGTAACCCTAAGGGGCCACCATGCCCACAGAAAGGGACCCTGAGTCTGCACAAACGATGTCTTAATCTTGTCATCATCCTGTCCTGTAGGGCTGACAGAATGCTTTGCATTCTGAACCAGGGAAGTCAGGGGAAACTACGAACACACAGAGATGACTTCACTAACCAGGAGCACTACCCGTCCCCCGCGGGCTACAGAAAACCAACCAATCCCTTTCCTTTCAGCTCCTACACCTTTCAGAGACATCCAATGCCACAGTGGAGGGGTGGTGTCACACTGTGGACTGGTAGACCCAAAGGGGGTGAGCTGACAAGACAACAACTCACAGTGACATTTGGTAAGAGTAGTGATGGACATCTGGGAGATAGTGTGCAGAGATCTCTACAGACCTGATCGCCATTCGAGGAGGGAGAGGAGCTGAGCAAGGGACCATCACAGAACCACAGGAGCACACACAGGAGACAGGAAGCCCCAGGAAGGTAAGGCCTTTGGGCCATGGGAGGACTGGGAGGACTGGGAGGAAGGTGGCTCCAGATGAGAACAAGGCTCAGGTTAACAGAAGGGCTGAAGGTCAAGCTACTGTTGGACTGGCCAGTCTACACTGCAGTGGGATAATGCAGGGACCAGTCTCCTCTTCCTTTAAAACCTTTCATTATCCTACTTAACATTTTGTGCACAGTAAACTTGATATTGGGTACAACCTTCAAACCAAAGCCACGGACTGTGTGTGAAGCGCTTTTATCCCATCTCAACAGCTTCCATGAGCTGATGCTTGGGTCTAGTTGACCTGCTCCACCTGCTTGGGTTCGGAGCATAAAGTCTGTGTGGGGCCTGGAGATACCTAGAGAAATCCTGTAAGTTCCAGTATCAACTCTGTCTGATGCTTCCTGGGACTCTAATGACACATGAGTAGGTAGCTGTGTAACTAGAACAGCATTCAGATTCATTGGCAAGGGACAGTGACACAGTATGTAAGCAATGCACGTCCAAAATGAGGCAGGTGTCTGCACATACAGATGCACACATAGACCTAAAGGCAAACAGTACTTTCTAGATATCACACAATGGATGCTACGTTCTTTTATCTCAATCACATTCCTTGTGCAACTTTTACAAACATGGAGCATCGTTTGAGATAACGGAATGTTGAGAAACAGAAGTTAAAAAAAATAAAATTTGAGAGGAAGGGGCAGCATCGGGTGAAGCAAACATTTAAAACAAAGGAGGAAAAGACATGGCCGCCTGAACAGGAAAAAGGGAGGGTGTGATCAGATGGGTTCACCCACGTGACTTGCTTTGCAGCCTCCAACATGTCCTCAATGAATACCCACCCCTCATAACTAGAAGAAAAAAAAACCCACCTAATAGGTACTATTTTAAAAAGAAGAAATGGAACAGAAAAACTAATCTAATGGGGAATTCCATCCCAACGCAGAATCTGAATAGAGCATTCGGGCAACGCACAGGGGCTCTGATTTTAATAGCAATTTCTTTGCCTTTTATGGAATGTGAGAAACAGATGCTTTAGTTTGCTGGATCGTCTCTCTCCTCCCTGCTCTTTTCTGTGGCGCTGGGGATGAACCCAGGGCCTCAGGAATACTAGGCAAGAGCCCTACCTTGGTGAGCTATAAACAAGCAAGACAGTGAGCTTAGGTGTTCATTGACACCATACTTTACTAAGCTGTGCTGGCAGGGCTGAGACAGGGATGGGTTCAGTGTTCATTTACATAAGAGGATGTGCTAACCAAGCCTGGGGGGAGCTGAGATGTAGATCTTATTCTGCTCACAGCTCAGAGACCCCTCAGGACGGCATGGGCTGGCAGGGGGGGATGGCTTGAGGTTCCCCATTTCTAATCTAGCCTTTCAAGTCTGCCTGGTTACATTTAACTCTGCTTCTCCAATGCTGTGAATATCAGAAAGAACTAGAAATACCCCAAAGGAACATGGGCTTATTTTAAGGACAAGATGAGAATAAGTTATGGGAGAAACATCTACTACCCAGTGGGGAATGCACACAACCTAACACTTGGGAGGCTGAGGCAGGAGGATCGAAAGTTAAGGTCATCCTTGATTACACAGTGAGCACGAGACCAACCTGGGCTACATGTCAACTTATTTCAAAACAAATAAAACAAAACCTCCAAAGAAATGTCTACTAATTACTCCTTCTGTGCCAGGAACTGTGCTGGCTTCCATTCAGCTCTTTTTCTTTAAAATACAAAGCAGGAAATCT